GGGATCTTTCTTATATTCTTAGGATACCAAGACTTCCTGCTACATAATTGGGTAATTGAGTAAAATATCTGCTGTTTTCTGCTGATTTGCAACTAGTTATGTCCTATTCCCTCAGTACATGGCCAATCCACATTTTTATCAACTTCCTCTACACTTTTGTATTTCATTTATATGATGTTTTCACAGATGTTTTTGCTTGTGACCGATTGCTTTGAAGTGAAAAAAACATTTAGATTTCCAAAACGTGTCTGTTATTTTCTATTTTCAGTGAAAAGTTCAGTACAAATGAATATTTAAAAATACATATGTATTTGTATAAACATGAATTACCCATGCCAGATTTAAATTATTAGTCTGCATATATAGTAGTTCCATCTGAGCCAACTGTGAATTGGTTCACCAGCAAAAAATAAGTCAGATGTTAACACATTTACATTTTACTTTTAAGATCTAGATGCATCCTGTCGGTGCACTGCTGTCCACTTCTCTTTATTCCTGAAATGGCTTTTATTGATTTTTGTCTCCAGACAATAAATCTAATTATTTAAAAAAATCTGAATTTTGCAGCAAAAAGTTTAAATTATTAAATTAATTATTATTTTTTTGTAGTGGTAACCAACGTTCTGAAAACTAAAAGTTAAAGACAGTTATTTTGGTTTGACGCACATTTTCCGTGTAGCTGTGTCTTTAAGAGGAAATGTCAGCAAGTAAACCAGACAGGACTTGCATATTCATTCTGAGAATTACAACAGACTTAAAACAGCCTGTCCTGTATTTTTTCTTCTCATCCCTGCCATGTGTGGCTCAGATTCAGAGCTTGGAACCCATGCTAAATTTATAAAGGCTTTAATGACAGGTTAACTGAGATGTGTTTCAGCTGGAATGATATTACCCTTTTTTTAGCTAAATTTTTACAGCCTATGCTGACAACTTAATAACCCATCCAGAGAAAGGTCTAGGAGACAGTTTAAACATTGTGGGTTGCTCCTGAAAGGCATCTGAAAGACAGCCTTGTGTGTGTCTATCTGGGTGCACAGTATATACATTGTCACTGATTGTCAGGGTTCATGTACATGTAGACATACAGTGGCTCCAGAAAATATTAATCCCACAACTGATTTGGAAGTCACTAAGTAATACACATTACCATGCTGTACTTTTTATGGCATTTTTTAAAGCGGTATTTATGGTTCATTTCTTTCCTGATTTTCTTTTTTCTGTGGCTTCTGAATTGATCTGTACATATGGCCAGTATACAGTTATTTACTATAAATACTTTGGTGAGTCCTAAGAAAAAAACTGCAAAGTTATTCAGCACTATGTTAACTCCTTGAAAAGGAAGTTAATACATGTACTGTGGTGCTCTGTGCTTTCAAGGGGTTTAATTGCAGCACACAAATGTATTGGTAAAATTATAATATAAGTAGTTATAATTCTTCTCTGAAGCATTAAAAGACAATATAAGCTGTATGTCATACTCTGATTAATATATTAAGGGAGCAATGCCCGGGTGACCTCTACAGAACAGGTACCCAAAGTAGTTAGGCAGAGGTCAGCATTTTGCATTTCTGCAACGTCTGACAATTAAAAAAGGGGGAAAAAAGCAGTTCTGGTTTTACATTGTAATCAGAGGACACCATCAAAAAAAATGAATCAGAAGAACAGAGACTATTCTAAAGACAGAGACAATTCTATGAAGGGCAAGATGGATTTATATGTTACAGTTGCTTCTGAAGTGACAGTATTAAAAAAAAGTTTCACCGTAGTGGTAGGCCTGGCAAAGCTGAAGAAATACAACCTAAAATAGAAAAAAGAATGACCATTAAAGACCTTTGAAAAAACTCAGCAACATTACCAGTTCCTTGCTTACTACTACTACATATATCTCCCACCCTGGTGTTGTCAATGCAGAGTAAACTATAAGGTTATTTGTTGACCTAGCTGAAAGGCAAGACATTCCCAATAATTAAAACTAAATTACGAAGGCCACTGGTAGGCTACTCCTGAATGTGATAAACATTTTAATTAAACTAAACTAGGGCTATTTATCACTGTGCCGCAACAAAGCCAGGGATCACACAAATGTACTGATGAAAGGAAAACACTTCCTAGTCTCTGGCATGGTGTTTACCTTGAGGACGTCTGTGTTTTCTACCTCAGAGGGTGATGCCTTTCTGAAGCAGCTGGTGGGGAGAAGGGAGGAGGACCAAGTCCTTGCTTCTTATTTAAAATCACACATTCGATCAAAAAAATGCCACACACCCACGCAAACAGTACGCACCCACATACATGTACACAGTGTATACGCATTTATATGGGGCAACTATGAATTAATCTCAGAAGCACTAACTAAGTACACATGGGGTTATGAAAAAGACGTCTGCAGATTTCACACATTTTGACAGTCTGTGTGGTGTCACCTTTCCTATTTGGTCACACGTGAGCACATTTAATTGTGCTAAAGTAATTGTTACCACTTCAGCTATACTAGTTACAGAATGCATCACAGTATTTGTGGGGGAGGAGTTACAGTCCAGGATAGTAAGATTAAGTGCTAGTGTTGTACAAGGAAGTGCAATACAATGGCGGTAGCCAGAGTTTAGAGTACTCAAACACAGAGAGCCAGTTAACTACTCCCTCCCCCTCTCTCCTGTCCTTTATCACAACACATAACATATTATACTGACTGCCATTCGCAATCACATCTTAATATCCCCGGCAAGTTAGAATCTGTGTAAAACAAAACACGATAAGAAAAAAAACACACGAAATTAAATAATAATACAAAAAATCCTCCTTCCATCATCTCCTGTTCTGTCAAATCATTTCCACCAAATCCTTTTTGATACGACATCACAGAACCCAAGTAGAGAAGCTAATCCTTCACATTCTATCACTGTAACCCTTTTATTTTGTCTCCTCCACATTAGCCAGCCTTATTTGCTGATAAAATCTGCCAGCCAACGCAAGCCTCTGTGGATCACACATCAAAAAGCCAAGATCCCCCCCGAGGTAAGAGCATGTCAAAATAATGTGCCTCTGTATCTCTGTGTGGCAGCATCATTTAAAACTTAATTTGATTTTCACTTCGTTAAACGGTGTTTATGGCACAACAAAGCCAGAACTTTTTTTTTTAGAAAAAAAAAAACAGGACTTACTGAAGAAAACCTGGCATTAGGTATTGACAGAGAATAAGTGTTGTCTTGCCAAACACGAAGCAAAGAGACTTGGTTAAAATAGTTTTTTTTTCTTAATATGAACGGAAAGGCTGCTCAAGAGGTGTCTGTTAATCCACATTCCCAGTATGGACAATACAGTTTCGTTTAGGCAAGGGGAGGAACATTTTCACATCCCCCACACCTCCAGAAGAACCTCATGGTAGTTTATTTTGTTTAGAACATCAATATAATAAGACACATTTTATAGGTCTCTTAACTAGCTGGTAATATTAAGCCTCTGTCATTTTGTCAACAACAATAACTATGATGTTAACAACAGAAGTCACTATTGAATTGAAATATTCTGTATGGAATACATACACTGATTTACTGTTTTACTATCAAGGAAAAAATAAACACCAAATGAATGATTTAAAACCCTTTGGCCATGCTTACCTTGATGCGACCCAACAACAAGTTCCAAAACATTCAGGACATGTTTAGGATCACTTTGCAAAATTACTCCAAAGAAATAAACGTCAATATTCACAATTCACTACCATTAAAGTAGTTGGACTAAAAAGAGCTCACCTCCCTACCTTCATGAGGATGATATTTAAATTGTGTGTGTTGGTGGTATAGTGGTGAGCATAGCTGCCTTCCAAGCAGTTGACCCGGGTTCGATTCCTGGCCAATGCATTGGCGAACCTTTTTTAGGTGATGTGTTCTGGCGCAATATGGCTGCCGTCGCATCATCCAGGTGGATGCTGAACATTAGTGGTGGTGGAGGGGAGTCCCCATTACCTGTGAAGCGCTTTGAGTGGAGTGTCCAGAAAGTGTAAGCAATTATTATTATTATTATTATTATTATTATTATTATTATTATTATTATTATTATTAAAAATGCATTCACAAAGCACTCAGCTTTGAGTTTTTTTTTAAAGCTCTTGGAAATAACATTTTATTGCTTTCCTTTCTGTGTTAATTTTAGGCATTAACGATAAACCACAGAGAGGAGCATCAGACAGTCATGGCAGAAAATGGTACTTTCTGCAGCTTTACATTGTGAGGAAAACATTGAACCATAGCTGTAATAATTCCACTTGCAAAAAAAATTTTCCACACCAATTAAATTCAAAATAGACAGGTTTTCACATTTTTGTCCTTCTGTTTTCTTGGTTGTCAAGAAATGTGACAACCAGAAGCCTTCTGGATAAAAAACATGGATGTTTGTGAGGCAAAGTCTTCATCCTATTAGGAAATACATAAAGGAAACTGAATAGTACTCATCAGAAAGATGGTTTTACGGGAGTATAGGAGGGTAAGAAAGTGCACATTTTTCAAGTTTACCATTAAAACACGTCTGCCTTCACAGGTTGCAGTGCAATGTGGTTAGGGGACTGTACTTGAGCCCAGAGGGTTGTGGGTTTGAGCCTTTGGTACCCTTTGGCAAGATACTTTTCTTCACTCAAATTGCTCCAGTTAAAGCCCTGCTGTATAAATGGGAACTCTCCACGCAATCGTTGTACATGAAAATTTGTTCTCAATTGACTTATCTAGTTTAAAAAAGGATTTAAAAAAAAAGCCTGTTTCTTGCAGGCAAGCAACAGAGTTTAGAGTATGGCCTATTTTGTCTGACAGCTCTTCGCCAGAGCTAGTGAATGTGCTACCACATTGAAAAAGATTTCCTTTATTCTGATCCCAAACCCATAAATGTGTGTTCCAGGAAGCATCGTTAGATAAATCCCCAAATCACCTGTAGCCTTAAGGATCACAAACCTTAATAAGTGCTCTACCCTTTTTATTTAGCTTCATAATCCTAGAGTAATTTTCAGTACTTACCAACTGACACATGTTCTTCAGCACACAAAGAATGAATGACACGTCAAGGCAATTAGGGGATCAGAGGGTTCAAAGATACTAGGCCAAGCCTAAAGGAGAAAAGGCACAACAGAAACATGTTTAAAAGGAAAAATATCCTGGGAAGGCATTGTGGATAATTATACAGCAAGAGCATCACAATGAAAGGGAGAATTATTATAGCTTCTTATAGGTAAACTACATCAATGCAAATAAAAGCACTGAGTAAAGAAAAAAAGATTTTCACACACATCTCTTTAATTATGTCTTCATTAAAATATATAAATAATGACCTGGTTAATTGGAAATAACCATATTAGCCTCTGTGATTCACAAAATGTATTTTTATGGGCTGTTCGGAATTTGCAAAGGCTCCTACTCTAGTCTTAGGGTTTTCTTTCGAGCAGCTTTATGAAGTCATTTAGACACTTTGCTTTCAGAAACTATACTTACATCTAATTACAGCATACGCGACTTTCCAATCCATCCGAAACCTAAGTGAATCATCCCAGGCACTTTTGGCCTGAACAGGTATGTCTTAAAGCAGGGGGCTGCTTTTGTGAAATTAAACAGGCATGCATGTTGCAACAGGGCAGTAAAATGTCAGGGCAGAGGTGATTGTGAAGAGGATTAGAACTGATCTGGAATTTGTCCTCCACTCTTGTCAATCACCAGACAGAGCAGTGACAGCCCTTTCTGACAAGGCAGGGTCTGTAATATATCATGAATACACGGCAAACACTATCGCACTGGTCCCCGCTTCAGGCCTCGAAACAGTTCTGGCCATTATGGTTCTTCTGACAGCACACCTCACCCATTTACACCAACGAAATCTGCCAGCACTCAGAACAGGCCTGTGATGGTGGAGGAGGGGGTTGAGGAAGGGTGAGGAAGTCAGTAACAAAGAAAGTTCTAAGGCTCTCGGGCAAGATAAACCAGGTTAATGGATTTCTTTTCATGCCGTAATTGCATTTTTGCTTAATTTAACCTTTTAAGAAATGCAGTAACACGACCAGATGACGTCTAAAAGCCCAGCAGCTCATTAACCGAAAACACCATATAATCCACTGTATAGCGGATCAATCGTTAATTTAAAATTTCATAGGTGCAGTAAACGCGATGAACATGTTTCAACAATGTCAAAATGAATGAGTTGAATGGCTCACAGACACGCAAAGAAGGCCAAGAACCCTGCATGAAAATAACTGTTGCATGTGGTAAAACATGGGTTTGTGTCTGTGTAGCAAAACAATCGCTTCTAGTTGATTATTTTGGGCTCTTTTTTCTGGAAGCACATTTCTTAAATGCCTGGTTTATTTAGTCCCTCCGAACTAGTGAGTTTACCGAGTTTACTAGTGAGTTTACAGAGTACTAGTGAGTTTACAGAGAAAAAGCACTTCTTATTTTTTTACATTACAGATTGGCAGTCACTGTTCTTGAAAAGAGCAGAAAAGGCTCCTGTAATAATCATAAAATCATAAAAATCTAAGATTTCAAAGGACTGCAAATGCAAAACGCAGAAACTCTTGTTTTAAAAGGCATTAAGATAAAGCTGATGCTTTGTGTTCCCATATAACAGCAAAACTGAGAATGGGTGGTTTCTCAACTTTCTTTCATTGATATTTGCTTGGAAATTTTTGGCTTCTTCTAAAAAAAGGTTCTTTAGAACCTTGTGCTTTGTAGATAAGTTGCCTAGTGAACAAAAGAACGAGCTATTTTCTTTCAAACTTTTCTTAAGCTTTAATCAGATAGTTCTGAAAAAAAAAACAGATAACTCTACTAAACTTTTGTTTTTCAGATATACATTTACCATGCTCTATGGCTGTAATATGACTGTAAAACACTTTGCAGATTGGGATCGTCACACAAAGGCTCTCCCTGAAAAAGAAACAAACAGAAGACTTCCCAGATCTGACCTTAGTTTAGTCTAGCCATAGGTTTGTAGGCTGCATTAAGGGTCTGAAGTCCTAATTTGATTCAGAAAGACTGAAAGAATTCCAGGCAAGATAAGAGAAACTATGTTATCTCTAGTGCAGTCCAAACCATGATTTAGATATGGTGTCTGAACCCTTAACATCTCCATAATAGTTCAGTCCACACTAGATTGTCTGAATTCAGTGTCATTCCAGAACCAGTCCAAAGCAGGGAAACTTGTAGCCCTCTCATCCCAAAGAGAACAGGAGGTCCTCCCCTCTGGTCCAGATGAGCCATAAGCATTCTGGTACACAGTGATCAAGTTGACCCATTGTCATTGCACCAATCCTAAAATTTCTGAAAACATTTTGTAACATAACATGTGTTTTTGATTTCTGATACTCAATCAGCTTGGTTTCTTTACATCTTGGGTAACAGCTGCCACTCCTGGAAGGGGAGCGTGTGAAAGGGCAGATGAGCACAATTTGCCCCGCCCACCCATCTCCCAGCATGCCAGCTTTGCAGCACCTGACAAGCACACTGGATCACAGATCCAACACGAGCTCAGAAAAATCTGACTTGCTGCTCACTGGGACCAGTTTGTTTCTTTTTACTCTCTTCACTTTAATGTTCACAAGAGCATTTTCAGGGTCATACAGTACAGTAGTTTTCTTCTACCTATTTTGTCTCCTCTTTCACTCTATCATGTTATCTCTATCCCTTTTTCCGACCTCTCTGACCCTCTTTATTCTGTATATTCAGCAGCCAGCTTGTTCATGTAAGTGCAATTGATTTCATAATGATTTACTGCATTTATATATATATATATGCTGGGCAAAAAAAGTTTCATAAGTTAAAACACACAGTTATTTTGTTCTGTGCACTTCCGACTTTATTATGCTTGATCTTTTTTTATTTTATTTTATTGCTTTCTTTATGTACAAGCAATGTACCGGGAATCAAAAGAAACTATCACTTGTAACTGTAAGAAGTTCACAAAGTTATATATGTTATTTTTCATCAAATTCCTGAGGTCCTAGACACACATACCTATTCACTGGTCTCTGAGCCCTAGTTACAACATGTTGTCCAAATTCAATCCATAAATGTTCAATAGGCCCAACGTCTGGCTAGCAGGGTATCCTCAGTCTAAAGGTCACATTCTGATCCTACAAGAAATCTGCTTTCACATGAGCAGCACGAGGACAGTCAGAGTCTGGAATGGTGTCACATCACAGTCAATCCACAGAAAAGGCAGCTAGTGAGGTCCCAGGAATTGATCAATATAGCACCTTGCAGTCAGGCTGCAATCAATCACTACAAGTGGAATGTTATGGAGAACACAGAGGGAACAGAAGAGGTGCTCATGCAGCTCTCCATCCTTGAGTGTGAAGATCACACTGGCTGTGCGATATCCTGTCCCCAGAAACACAACCCAGATCCTGAGACCCAGTCAGAGAATGACGTGGAAAATGTGGTTCTTTGAGTGCAGTATGCGTCTTGCTTCAGTCTACAGCTCCATAATAAATTAATTAATTGCCTTTCTATAGTGCTTTTCATCCCAAAGTGTTTTATACTTCATCTACCAGTGTGATTAATTTCAATCTCCACCTGGATGACCAGCAGCCCCCCTACATAGCAGCTCGCGTAGGGAAGAAAACAAATTTCACCAGCTGAATCAAGGGGTAACGGTACATATGCCAGAATGTAACAAGTAGTCAGTCCTGCCCAGACCATCATACTTGGAAAATCTCACTAAATTTTGCAAAAGTGTTGTGATTTGTGGTCTTCGAGATCATGACCTATCGTTGACGTAATGTCTTAGGCTATAACATCTTGCCAAATTAGAAACTGCTGGCTGTGAACAGATGGAAAATGGCTCTGCATTTATTTAATCCTGTCTCCAACATACAGTACCAATGACACAAAAGTGTTATTCTCTTGACAAGTTGAGTGTATCGGTTACTGTCTGTGTTTCTCTTTCTTGACATTCAACAGGTTAAATCACCTCATTGCATGTGCCCAATCAACTCTCTCACTACTGATCTGGTCATTATGCAGTTACTCAAGTGTATCACGGTCTGTCACAAATGATCAATTACTCACAATGTTAAAAAAAAACATTTAATCAATATCCACATTTTGCATACTTTATTTTTCTAAAAACATACATGAATATATACAGTAGTGTTCAGTATATTTATACTAAGAAGCATTAGAAACCCAACAAATGTTATTGGTTCCAATATTTAATTGTTGCATTTTTAAATCCTCTCTGTAAACGTACAGCCCTATAAAAATCCTTTCTAAAGATCTTGCTCAGAAAAGGCATGTAAACATGCTGCCAGGGAAATTTCTTTGTACTTCACTACAACTCAAGCCAAAGAGGATAACACTAGATCAAACATTATATTAACGGCTTTATTTATAGAGGCCCAGCTTGTAGTTACACCTCTGTTTTGTATTAAGTATATGTTATTTCTCAGAGTTCAGTCAAATTAAATGAAACCTTCTGTTTGATAAACATCAAATGAGTGCAAAATCAAAGTTCTTGGTATTCCAAGTTCTTATCAAATGAAATACCATGCAAAGGCATCAGAGGTGGCAACTTCAATGGAAAAATACAGGGCTGAATTCAGGAAAACATTAACCTTTCAAGTCTTTATTTGGTAAGAAACACAACCAACAAACATATACCTCCCTTGCATAACTGCTGTCCAATTATGAACATTTGGCATGTTTAGAGCTGTGGACCAGGTCACGTTTGGTAAACTATGTTGATTTTAAGTTTCACTGCTTATGAACCAAAGCCTTGTAAAGCACTGGAATGGACAGCAGTTAATGATATTAGGGGTAATGTAGTATACAACAGCAAAAAGATTACTGTTCAAAGACAGTAATGTCAGCAGAGGGGGAAAGAATGTGCAGTCTCAGTTTTTCCGGTTTGAGAGCAGGATGCAGAGGAGAGGTGTAAGCACAACCAGAATGAGGCAGGGCTTGGGGCAGAAAAATGGAGACCGCCTGTGAATGTACTGAACAGACTCAGAACTCCACATATGGGAGTGCATGTTTCAGTGTGACTTTTGAATTTGGAGGCATTGTGATTTATGTCTGGCAAACTTTGATCTTCTAAAAGGCTTTAAGATTTACACGACAATAATTCTCCTGGCCTGCGCTTAAATAAATGATGTGCTGGTGGCAACCATCCAGGATAGATTTTAATAGACTGCTTCAAATACAGAGGAGAGAGAGCAGCTTTGGAAGAAAAGACTCACACAAGAAGCCCCATATGCATTTGATGAGGAGTTATACAGGACAGCCATTGAGGTTATGAAGAAAGAGGAATTGAAGAGGTCTGAAGGAAATAAAGCAATTGTACCTCCATTAGTTTCTTTATGTGAATAATAAAAAACAAGGTCAAATTAATCCCATGGATACGATCCTGATTTAAAAAAGATACAGAAAAACAAATTGTCTTAGTATACATTTGTTGTGGTATCTATCTTTGATTGTGTGGTGCAAGTTTAAGGATTGGCACGGCACAGTGCAAGATACGAGTTGTGTTCCTACACATAACCTTTGGCCGTGTGTGTGTGGACTTTGACAGCACGCATGTGTATCTGTGCTTGGAAATGCTGGTGCAAGCACATGTGAATATGAAGCCGTTTGTGTGTGGGTGTAGTAGTGAATGTGGGTAATCGTGTCTGTAAAAGTGTCTCTTTGTGTAGTGGGGTGTGTGTGCGTGTCTTTGTGAATCTGGGCGATTGCCTGCATCGAATGATGACCTCCAGTACTTCAAAGAGGAATCTCCCGTCTTGGGCGCGGTTGGTAATGACAGGCCTCTGACAGAGACACCTGTACTGAGGTGTTCCTGACACTCCCACTGTGCCCATCAGTATCTGAATACAGAGGGAAAGCATTCCCCCACACTGTCTGAGACACCTACAGCCAGATCAACAAACAGTTTTAGTATGGGAACATGACACCCTATTTATTATCCAGTGAAACATTTCCCAAACAACAAAACTGCTTGCATATTAAAACCAGAAAGAATAATGTAATGAAAAACATTCCCAGTCAAGGGGCAAATAATTATAAGAAACTATGTTCTCGTGAATAGTTTTACATTTCACATTTTTATTAATTTTCCCCTCACCCTGTTTTGTTTTGACAGAATTAAAGACTATTTCTCTATTTACAGGATCTTAGTTCCTAATTTGTACATTTTACTACTCACTAAATTTAGAAATAAAGAAGTGATTTTCCTCAACTGAAAAAAGGTAGTGACAAATCTCAGATTTACAGTAAGCCGTGATTTTTTTGTACAATCATCCATCCATTCTTTTTCTAACTCTCCAATACAGGATCGCGGGGGAGGAGAAGCCTATCCCAGCAAGCCAAGGGCAGAAGGCAGGATACACCCTGGACAGGACGCCAGTCCATCACAGGGTACACTCACACTCACGCCAGGGCCAATCTTCCCAGAAGCCAATTAACTAACCAGCACATCTTTGGACTGTGGGAGGAAACTGGAGCAGCAGGAGGAAACCCAGACGAACATGGGGAGAACAACTTTCTCTTTGTACAATCATATGTATTAAAAATGATTATTTACAAAAATAAAAACACATCAGAAGACTTTGGACAACTTTTTCCACTAAGAAAAAAATACCCTTATAGCCAACTAGTGAGCCCGCACTGCAATTTGTGGCACTTACTGAACACATAGAATAAGAAACCTTGTCATTTTATTACATATGCTAGGAGCTTTGAAATCATAGGCTCTGTGAGCTCATAAAGACGGTCATCTGGAATGAATAATAAATATTAACTTTGTACTTTTGTCCCTGTGGTTTTGATATCCACACTGAAGACAGAAAGGACTTTAATTCTTCAGTGGACTAATAAGACCCGCAGAGCTGCTGTATGATATACTCAACCTGCTGCATAGATTCTGTGACAGTGTCAGACTGATTATAAACAGGAAGACAGACTCAAGAGAAGACACCCAACAGTCCTCACTGGCATAGCCAAAAAGTCATGAACGACCCCCTTTAAAATTAGAATTTAAACCCGGTAAAAAAAAATGGAAACCTCAACAGCTCCGAGTGTCTTTCTTTCCTGCTTTCTCCTCTCTCTCTTTTACAACAGGGACTGCCTGTCAGGCAAGAATGCCTCTCCAGCTGTTTCCCTGGAATGGATGACCGTCGCCAGGCTATAGATTTGGTTTTAATAACAGTTAGCACAAACACTGCAAATTTACGGCTGCAAGTGAGAGTTTTTGAAAAGACGTCCAACTTCACCAGGGCTATAATTTTTTCTTTCTTTCTCTCTCTCTCTTCATCCCTCGACACCACAGCAGCTGTTTGCACTCAGCTTAGACCTGACATGGTACTTTGAAATAGCAATCACTGTATTTATATGGTAGGGAGGACTCATAAATGTGTCAGTGGAGGAATATACGACACCGTATTTCACATTTTTTCTATTTTAAAACAGTGAGTTATGACTACAGAAATGTGTACCCATTAAAGGTGATATGATGTATTTTCTGCCTTGTTCAGTAGCTCATTCATCAACCCAGACAATAAAGAAAACTGCACTTTTTTCTTCCCCCTCTCTCTCTCTCCCTCTCCCTCACTCTCTCTCTCCTCCTGTCGTCCGTAATTTATGATGCCCCCAGCACGGTAACCTTTTGGCAGGCACTGCAGAAACAGCTTGCACTGTTAGCAACTAAATAACCTTTTATAAGGTTTTAAATGCGCTGCTACAGTCTCAATGCACTCGCAGGGATCGATTCGGTGGCGAGGATGGCGCGAGGCACAGGAAAGAAGGGAAAGCGGGGAGAAAAATTGTGCAGCCGAAAGATGAGGATAGAAAAAAAAAGAGAGAGAAAAGAACAGGCCTGAAAGGGGCTTGGAAGCAAACATGATCTATAGTCCGATCAATAAAACCATATAGATTGTTAGGGGATGTTGTTAATGATTTTTGCTAGACATCATCTTTCACCGCGCTGTTCTTTGTCTTGTTCTGTTGTAGGCAGTAAGAGGATTAATTGACCTGACGAAGCAGTGGCTGGGGGCTGCTGGGGAATATTTTCGTGTGACACTATCCAATGCTTGCAGAAATTTACTGTGGCACAAAGGTCTAGGTGAAGCAGCGAGCTGTTTCACTTTCTAGGGCAAGAGCAATCAAGGGCTTCTGCAGCAGGTTTTCTTTTTAATTACACTGGTTTATGAATTCCTTTCTTTGCTGGTGGAAATCCTATACCTTCTCAGAGAACAAACCGGGCCCTGTCACGCTGATGCTCATGTCTTATTCATTGTTTATGGTGGTTGCAGATGAGTGCTCTTCTCTAAAAATGCCAACCCCTTTAACCTGATTATCTGCTTATTAGGATATCAGTAGCAATCACACAACTCTGAAAGAGAGCTGCAGACGAGTTACCATCAACAGTGTAGCACATTTCTAATAAAATATCAGAAATTGATCTGCAATTTACATTTGTGGATTTATTAAGTTAGGATTTTTGAAAAATGAGACACCAAATATGGTCTTACATTAAGTGTCACATTTGTGGCCATGTTTGTCTAAGAGCACGTGGTTTTATGACGCATATATAACTCCATATGATAAAGATTGACATATTTTGTAAGGATTTTACTTATATGAAAATGAAAATACAAACGCTTTTATACGTAGCTGTCCATGCAACGACTGTGTCTTCAAACGATTTGCCAGCATGTTTTATATCAAAGTCTACAATGCAGAGAAAGGGCTTTCAGGCCTTGTTTTATGTCTTAAAGCAGTGAGTCAGTCTTGTTTTCAATATCAACATTATTTAAAGTCGTTACCGGATGTTTTAAACAACGTATTACGTTATTAAGCAACAACTCACTTAGTGAGTGAATAAGTGTTTATTATTCCTAAATTTACAAACAAATAAAACGCAGTTTTGTTATTTAACTACCTACACTCTGCCCTTAAGAGCAATCTTTGGCTACTTTGTAAGCTGACCTCATGTAAGAATCAAAATAGAGTGACGACGTGTACAGACTTACCTATCACATTGAATAGACGGCTAGGTACGTAGCGACGCAACCTCCCCCTCCTCGCCCCGTTCCGATGACGTGGCACGACCACGAGCTCCCAAAGCGCTCGCCAAGCTCGCGCACCTCTCAAGCCTTAAAGCGCCGGTGCGCGCACCCCGCTGGCCGCGTGACCGAGAGAGTGGGTTTCAGCGTCCAAGATTCAGTGTAGAAACCCCAAGTGGAAAGTGCGTGGGGGGTGGTCCCCTCTGCGGATTTATTAATACACAAACTCATATACATAATTCACGCTCCATTGAAAAGGAAATGTTTCCTGTTTTCAGCCTAATTAAGCAGTCCCTGATTTATTGCCGGGACACCGACACAGTCGGGTCCCAACCCAAGGAAAAGAAACCTAAGGCGCCCTTTCAGCTCATGAAACGGGGCCTTTCTTAGCCCTAAAAAAATGAAATGCACACATAAAATAATATATACACAGCATATCAACGGATAGTTCATACAGGGCCAAGGAAGGAGAAAAGATTATATTATCGTTATAGGCTTTCATCTTTTATCTGGAGTGAATTCCAAGCCAACATTAACAAGAAACAAGGTAGGTCGTTATTCTTTAGTACAGCCGACAGCCCTCCTCAGACTGCAGTCAGCCACCATGTTATTTATATCACTTTTGTGTATTTAAAGAGTTTTGCTTTGGAACGAAACTGCCAAACGACAATAAAAAAAAGAAAGCAAGAGCAAAAAATCTATATAGAGAGAGAACATTAATCATCTTTTATATGGTATAATCCTAATAAATATAATCCCCAAAAAATGTTGTTAATGAAGCTTAATTCTGCTCTGGAAAGGTTTATTGATTTTTCCAAGCATTCTTAATAAATCCAACGTGTATATAAATTACGACCTTGGCAGCTATCAGGTTGCCTTTCGTTTTAAGCACGTTTCATTTTCTATATGAGCTGTAACTGCAAAAAGAGCAGCTCTTTGAGAAGCGTCTTATACAATCTTCCGTGATATGTTTTTGTACTTCCTTGCAGTATACCGGCTGATTTGGGGGGCGGGGGGGTGGATTCAAAACCAACCATTTCTGTTGAATACGCCGCCCTTAAACGAGGATCTGCATTTCAGCCATACCGAGGGAACACCTGCGCCAAACGCGAGAACAAGCCGGCGCGGCTCGAGTATCAGACAACTTGCACGGGACTCTCTCGCGGCAGAGCCCGCGCGGCGGCACGCTCCCCGCCTGTTCGGCTCCGCAGTCCCCTCTCCGCGCAGAGCCGCGATCCAGTCCGGGATTTCCGCCGCGCTGCCCTGACCCTAAGCTGTCAAACACGAACCGTGAGATTAATGGGGTGGGCGGTTCGGTATAATAATCGTTTGTTTGATGTGACAAGCTTGATAGGCGTTGATTTACTTACAGACTGATAGGCTTTTAATTGAGCACCGCCATCCCTCGTCACATCAAAGGCATAGCGACTGACAAGAGGCCCCTTTTACTCCCAAGTCGGCGATGACTGACAGATCCGCTGTGTCTAACTCCTTTTTTTCCCTTCTCTTCTGTATTTCCTTCCTCTTTACTTGAGAAAGCAGGGCTGTCGCTGTTTTTTTCTTCCCGAGCTTTGGCGAGGGGCAGGCTGATTTTTTCCGTGGATTTCCGAAAGAGCGACTGACGGGGACGACAACTCTTTAGAGATTTAGTATATGTGGGTCGCTGTTTTTTTTCCTCCCCAAGATGATAAGAAATGTGTTCTGATGTGTTGAGCTTAAACAGGGAGCCTGGGAGGTCAGAAGCGTCATTGTGCTTCTATTTAGTATTTCTTTTAAACTCGTATACCAGCAACGGTTTCTAGATGCAAAGCACAGGCAGCTTTTAGTATTTTTTTTTTCTCAAATATGTGCGGACAGGAATCTGGACTGCCAGCGCTCCTGTAGGGGCAGTGAAGAGGATTTTTTTTCGTCTCTAAAATTATTTTGTGCGTTTAATAAAAGAAAATGCTTTTGCTTTTGCAAAGTCAGTCAGTAGAAAATGTACATAAAGCCGGTCAGCAGAAGGTCATGTCGATATCTCATATGTGCTACTCACGCTCGATTTCTTCAGGTTTGAATCGTCTTTGATCCTGAATAAAACAAATCTTTGACGCTAGTAACTGGGTAGGCTGACATCGCTGTCCTGTAAAAAAGTTTTGACCTGCGTGTAAAATAAAGATAAAACGCTGCGTATCCAGAATTCCTCAGGAAGTGATTGACTTAATGTGTATGAAACGCCGCTGATGTTCATGAGTTACATGTGGTCAGTTATCAGAAAAGTGTTTCTATAAGATTACGGTTGTGTGTTCCCGAAATACAGTACTGTACTCAGTGGTTTGCGTATGTTTTGTTCCGCCTTGCGTTTATAACGACTTACTTTTTAAAGATCAACTTCACTGGTCAGAATTCCCACCTTTCCTGGGATTTTTGCATGGGATGAAGAAACATCTGCTTCACCAGGGGTAGTTTTGTGGTTTTTTTTATCTCAAAATAAAAAACATGACTACTGTTTTGCTAACTTTAATATTGTAGAAAGAATTAAATGTAAAATTTGCAGCAGTCAGTTTCAGTATATCTTATGGAAATAAACTTACAAACAGTCATGAGAATGGACTAATATGTAACATAACATCTATATGTATAAACGTGTATATAAGCACAAAGCACAGTATCACAAGGCCAAAGTAGGAACAATCATCTGCCAAAATACATTGTACTTTTTTTCCCTGTGACCACATCATAAATTGCAGCCGGCTGCAGCTACCCAGTAATCATATTTGCAATTAAAATATTTTAAGATCCGTGCCAGCTTCTGAATCTTCGGTTTACCCTTTTATTTTGTGTGTGGGAGAGTTTTCCAGCGATGCCGCTTTCCCATGAAGCAGAGAAACCTCCAGGAGCAGAGAGTTGGTATTGTGTTTATGTGCTGCTGAGGAGGAATCCGCCTCTGGAATGCTTCACGCACAATGTCTTGTCCACGTTTTAAGGAGACAGGACAACGTCCAACAGCTTGCTGGATTTGTATGTAACACCACAGGGCTGTTGGTACTTACAACTGTTTAGGCTCAAGCCATCCATTGGATGCTGTTCCATGTGCAGTCTCTGCTTCATGGTTTGTAGTTATTGTGGACCTGATCCTCATTTCTGGATCTTTCAAACCACAATCTCCAGCCCTGCTCTGAAAGACCCCCAGAGACCCCAAGTCCTTTGGTGTCAGTGGTTAGGTTTTTTATTGGCTTTGACTCCGGTTTTGTAGTACAGTGAAGGAATTGAGAGCAGGACTGAAGGGAACCCATGCTGCACTCTGGCAACAGGACACTAGAGCTCTGTAAGAATATGTGTCAAATTAACTCTAGTATTGTGATGGGCCTGGCTGGTTAGAAAGGTCTCTGAGAGCACCTGCCCAACAGGTGTCTTTATAAAAGGGGTGGAACCCCGACGTCCTGGCCAAATGTCCCATTGGCCCTAACCAATCATGGCCTCCTAATAATCCCCATCTATGAATTGGCTTCATTACTCTGTTCTCCCCCCCACTGATAGCTGATGTGTGGTGAGTGTTCTGGCGCACTATGGCTGCCGTTGCATCATCCAGTGGGGGCTGCACATTGGTGGTGGAGGAGAGTCCCCATTACCTGTAAAGCACTTTGAGTGGAGTGTCCAGAAAAGAGCTATATAAGTGTAAGCAATTATTATTATTATTATTATTATTATTATTATTATTAAAAGATGAACAAAGCACTACTAGTATGAACACGCAGGTATAAACCTATAGGAGACAGTAAAACAGACCTGCCTGCCGAGACTGAGTTCCTTTTGTATAAAAAACCAAGCCTTCGAAAAAGGTTTCATTCTGCACAGGAACTACATTTTAACCAGCATTTACAATAACACCCAAGTGACTCCTAAACCACCGTCACAACCACAGCTGGGAGATTCTTCTCAAAATAGCCATGTCCATGTCCAATGTAGTCACCTCCTTCAATAGCAAGTAGTTATGCAGTTTTTATTCAATAGTCAAGTACTAAAGAGACCAAATATCGTCGAGATCCTTACCGAAAAGAGGTTAGGTTTAGACACAGCACATGCGGCAGTTTGGGATAGTTAGTGAAGTAGTGCCATGGCTCTTGGGCGACTGCTGAACTTGATGGGACCAGACAGCACTACTGTAATAATGCATCTAGAGGTTTTATTGAAGATGAAACCATGACAAGACCAACCTGTGCTGACAGAGAAGAATTCTGAGAAGAATGCCCAACTACAGTAATGATCATACAACAAAAGGAAATGAGGGATCTTTGGCTCAATCATCTTGAGACAGAATAAGAAGTGAAAAAAGCACATCTTTCTCAGAAGAAGCAGCTTTTTAACCATTCAAATAGACTTTTTGCACCTCCTCCAAGGAAAGTTTTGAAAATCAAATTCTGTAACTTATTTTATTGGTTTCCAAAGGATTAGGTGAACCGTAATACTGTATTACAGCCCGAATTCTTATTAAAACAAATGTAGCATTGCTGACTTAATTACATGCTCTCATTTGCATGACATCAAATTTCTTCTCTCCTTTGAACTTAATGAAAGGAGTGCTTCTGTTTGTTTTTTTAAAATTTTCTAAACCTGCAGATCCCAGGCAAGTTCATGCAGCTCTGGCTTCCAATTAATATTAACTTTAATTGTTAAAAAGAAGCACATGGGTGCAATTGTGTGTGCGTGCTGGTGTGTACGTGCTTGAAGAGGGATGAAATGGGCGTGCAGACTTCACTTCACAATTTTTAAAACTGAGACATGTCATGAGTCTCCTGAATGAGCCGGTTTGCTGTGTCACAGGCTCCCGTAGGGAGGAGTCATACAAAAAAAAACCTTTTGATGTTGGCTGAAATTTCACAGAACAATGTACAACAATTTCAAGCAGGGCTGCACTTCATTTTTCTTTGGCAACCTACCACACTCAGGGCAATCCCCTGCCTGCTGCTGGTAGATCTTCCGTGTGGAGCACAATAGCTGCTTTTGTTGCCTACAAACACATGTGTACGTGTGCATCTGTGTGTGTACACACAGAGCCGGTAATTCTCGGCATTGAGTGCAAGTCACCCAAGCCTGAAACACGTGAAGTATGTATTACAAGGGATCCACCCGAACAGCAGGGCTCTGCAGATAAACAGATGGACACACAGACAACAGGCCATCATGCTGGGCCATCAGGTAGAGAGGCTGACAGGCAGGCAGGCAGACAGGCAGACAGGAGAGATGTAGGGAAGTAAATACAGACAGATGGAAGGCGAGACAGACAATCTTATCACAGATAAGCAAGTGGAGCGTACAGCACTGGGTGATTGGCAGTAGAGAGGGAGAGATTATACAGAAGAACAAGTATGTAAATATTTTACTTCCAAAATGGAGCTAACGACCTCCAGTGAGGAAAAGTGACCCCTTCGGTCCAGTACGTTAGATAGAGTCATTGATTTACTGATAGACAGGCATGGAATGCTTTTTTTCTTACCGACAGAATACATTATCTGCTGTACTAAGGAGAATTGGTTCACCTCTCCTTTCACCTACAGGAGGTGTTTCCCCTAGAGCCCTGGTAAAGCATGCATAAGACATGAGTCCTTTTTCGTAAAGCTCAGTATTGGCAGCCTTTTTCTTTTACTGGAAGTCTGGATTTAGGGTTAAGCTCTCTAGCCCAGGACAGTGTATGCTTTTCAGCTAAGAAAGCTGTTTTCTTAGGGAAGACAAGTGCACATAACATAACGACATATGATGGACACATAATGCATGGATGCATGCATACTGTTATGCTGTATAAAGTAAAACTCCTACCACATTGTTTTGTACTAGAGTGCACGTCAATCTACAAAAGCACTGGTCCTACCCAACTGATGGGTTTTAACTCTAAAGATAGAAGGAAAATCACTTTTATGGTTTGCAAGGGTTGGTGACTCACACATGTCAGTTACACCCCATAAAAAACGCCTTGTTATTTTTTATTATTATTTCTGGAGAACACACAAGGTACTAGCAGCGTCCTGGCCTCCAGGCTGTATTTTCATACCATGCAGTTCATAAATCAGTCATAGTAAATTAAATGGAAATGATTTACAATGTTTTGCTTTTTTCGCCCTTTATCTTTTTCTTTCTTTTTTAATTTAAGGATTCAATCCATCACTCGCAAAGCTTCACTGATCTACTTAACTTGGAAGGGTGTAACATAAAACCTTGCAGGTATAGCGTAAATATAGCTTGATCCCTTTCGTTATTCTTGCTCCATCGAAAATCAAAAAATGCTTAAAGCCATGCTCTTCCTGTTACTGAGAGATCCCCTGTTACACACGTCAGGGGAGAGAGGGAGTTTTTCTAAGTGGGACACAAATAAAGAGAAGGACTGAAATATATCCCTGACAGCTGGGAAAGGAGTAGGTGTTTCTTTCTATGGTGCACAAATATTAGAGTTTTTTATTTAGCAGATATAAAGTCCCTGAGCCAAGTGATAGCTTCTTGTCTCCGCTGTGTCTATGGATTGGACAGTCCTCTGGGATATACTGCATAGTTTGCTCCATCCCACAAGATCAAAGACAGCCTGCTAATAAACTCCTTGCACTTATATAAAATGGCTGACCCTGCTCTCTTACCCACAGCTTCTCTCTCTGTCTGTGTGGCTGTGTGTCTCATGGAGAGCAAGTTGGGGTATGCGAAAAGACAAATTCCTAATACAGGAGATTGTATGTGGCCAATGAAGTGATCTTAAAAAAGTGATCTTATAGCGCTTTTCTGGACACTCCACTCGAAGCACTTTACAGGTAATGGGGGACTCCCCTCCACCACCCCAATGTGCAGCCCCCACCTGGGAAATGTGACAGCAGCCATAGTGTGCCAGTACGCTCACCACACACCAGCTATCAGTGGGGAGGAGAACAGAGTGATGAAGCCAGTTCAGACATGGGGATTATAGGAGGCCATGATTGGTAAAGGCCAGGGGGAAAGGACGTCAGTTAAGTGCACATTACGTGCAGTGATTCCTATTCTTGATCCAGGTGGAGCCTGCATTGATGTCTTGCTGTGTAGGATTTTTCCAGGTTGGTGTTCCTGAAGTCAGACATGTCTTTGGGTGGATGTAATGGCATGTAATGGCAGGTAAGGAGCGTTTCAGACCTTTGTGGAGTCCTCAGAGG